TGCATATAAATAACTCAGAGGGCCACTCACGTAATTTTTTATAGGACAAAGATTAGACTCCCTGGATTAAGAAAAAAATTATACTATGATTGTTATAATTCCCTGGATAACTGCCTTTCTTTCAGTAAGACTGAAAGCTCTGTCATATTCCTTCTTATCCCCCCAGAAAATTAAGCCAGTGACTGGCACAATAGTGGGCATTAAATAAATAACAACATGATTTCTAGTCCTAGAAGTAATTTACAACTGCCCCTTAAACACATTTATCTGTATATTATTTATTAATTTATAAAACTACTTTTATTAATGAATAATTTTATATAATAAAAAGTTCCCATTTTAAATGTATAGTTTGATGAGCTAAATAAATGTATACACACATGCAATCACCAACACAATCAAGATACTTGTATATGGGGAACAAGGCTAGAAATCATATCAATAAGGAAAGCCCCAAACTCTTCAGGATAAAGAACTGGTTCCCTATTCTCCAATTCACAAGGTGTTTTCATTTTTTTCTCTCTTGCCAGACTAATGTTTCAAATTCTGGGAAGTACTGTATATAGAAAACCCTAAAGACTCCACCAAGAAACTATCAGAACTGATAAATGAATTCAGTAAATTCGTAAGATATAAAATCAATGTACAGAAATCTGCTGCATTCCTATACACTAATAATGAAGCAGCAGAAAGTGAAATTAAGAGCGGTGCGTGGGTGCTCAGTTGGTTATGCATCTGACTCTTTTTTTTTTTAAAGATTTTATTTATTTATTTCAGAAAGAGAGAGTGAGTGTGAGAGAGAGAGAGCATGAGCAGGGGGAGGAAGAGACTCCCCACTGAGCAGGGAGCCCAATGGGAGACTCAATGCTGGGCTTGATGTGGGGCTCAATCCCGGACTCCAGGATTATGACCTGAGCCGAAGGCAGATGCTTAACTGACTGAGCCATCCAGCAACTCCCGCATCTGACTCGTGATCTCAGCTCAGGTCCTGATCTCAGGGTTGTGAGTTCAAGCCTCATGCTGGGCTCCATGCTGGGCATAGAGCCTACTTAAAAAAAAAAAAAAAAAAAAGGAAGTGAAATTAAGAAATCGATACAACTTACAATTGCTCCAAAAACAATACAGTATCTAGGAATAAACTTAACCAAAGAGGTGAAAAATCTGTACTCTGAAAACTATAAAATCCTGATGACAATATAAAGAATGGAAGAACATTCTGTGCTCATGGATTGGAAGAACAAATATTGTTAAAATGTCTATACTACCCAAAGCAATCTATAAATTTAATGCAATACCTATCAAAATATCAACAGCATTTTTTACAGAACTAGAGCAAACAATCCTAAAATTTGTATGGAACCACAAAAGATCCTGAAGAGCCAAAGCAATCTTGAAAAAGAAGAAGAAGCCTAGAGGTATCACAATTCCAGATTTCAAGTTATATTAAAAAGCAGCAGTAATTAAAACAGTATGGTACTGGCACAAAAATGGATACATAGATCAACAGAACAGAATAGAGAGCCCAGAAATAAACCCATAATCATATGAACACTCTTCAACAAATGGTCTTGGGAAAACTGGTCAGCCAGATGCATAAGGATGAAACTGGACCACTTTCTTTCACCACACACAAAAATAAATATGGATTAAAGACCTAAATGTGAGACCTACAACCATAAAAATCCTTGAATAGAACACAGGCAGGAATCTCTCTGACATCAGTCATAGCAACATTTTTCTAGACATGTCTCCTGAGGCAAGGGAAACAGAAGCAAAAATAAACTATTGGGACTTCATCAAAATAGAAAGCTTCTGGACAGCAAAGGAAACAATCAACAAACCTAAAAGGCAACCTACAGAATGGGATATTTGCAAATGACATATCCAATAAAGGGTTGGTATCCAAAATATATAAAGAACTGATACAACTCAACACCCAAAAAATAATCCAATTAAAAAATGGGCAGAAGACATGAACAGACATTTCTCCAAAGAAGACATACAGAGAGCCAACAGACATATGAAAAGATGTTCATTACTTACCATCAGGGAAATGCAAATCAAAACTACAAGGAGATACCACCTCACACCGGTCAGAATGGCTAAAATAAAAAACACAAGAAACAACAAGTGTTGGTAAGGATGTGGAGAAAAAGGAAGCTTCTTGCACTGTTAGTAGAAATGCAAACTGGTGCAGCCACTGTGAAAAACAGTATGGAGGTTCCTCAAAAAGTTAACTACACTATGATCCAGGAATTGTGCTACTGGGTATTTACCCCAAAAATACAAACGCATTAATTCAAAGGGATACATGCACTCCTATGTTTACTGCAGCATTATTTACAACAGCCGATCTATGGAAGCAGCCCCATCGATAGATGAATGGATAAAGAAGATGTGGTGTGTGTGTGTGTTGTGTGTGTGTATACACACACACAACACACACACACACCATGGAATATTATTCAGTCATAAAAAAGAATGAAATCTTGCCATTTGCAGCAATATGGATAGAGCTAGAGAGTATAATGCTAAGTGAAATAAGCCAGAAAAAGACAAATACCAGATGATTTCAATCATCTGTGGAATTTAACAAACAAAACAAATGAGCAAAGGAAAAAAAAAGAGAGAGAGAAACCAAGAAATAAACTCTTATCTATAGAGAACAAACTGATGGTTACCCAGAGGGGAGGTGGGGGTGGGGTGGGGGGACAGGGATGGGAGAAATAGGGGATGGGGATTAAAGAGCACACTTATCAGGATGAAAAAAAATGAAATGAAATGAAAAAAAATTCTCTTAATCAAAAACAGAAACAAACCAGGAGGCAGGCCTAACAATAGCATCTTCTGAGAACCCGAAAGCTGGAGAATTTCAAAGCAGATTAGCTGTGTGATGGTCAGTGGATTAAAAAAAAGAGAGAGACGAATTCTAGGTAGATCCTTGGCAACAACTGTCAAGAATTCTGCCCCTGAATTTGCAGAGTTAACAGAAGTTTGCCAATTATTTAATGTGTGTGTCGCACTGTGGTCATTATAGAGATCTATGAATGAGACAGTACTTGTCCAAGAGGTCACTATCTCCTTGGGATTAAGGTGATACAAAAATAATCATAACGGAAGTGTGTCATAGACACACGGGGAGTACTAATTGAGGTCTGAATTTTTTAAGAGACCATCCATATCTTTAAAACATATTTGGTGTTTATTAATAACCTAGTGTGGTAATCCCTGGAAGTCAAAGATTAGGATGAAGGAGCCAGGCCTTTCTTATTTTTGTTGTTTTTTTAAAGCAATTAGAAAACTTGCAAGGACAAGTCTGTGACTTGCTTACATTCCAGACTCAGTCTCTCAGTCAGAAACCACAGTTTTCCACTAAAAGTGGCACAAAATGGGTTTCTGGAATGTGAGAATGATGGAAGAGTGGTTAAGGTCCAAAGTTGAGGTGGTCTTTCCTCCCTGAGAATGTAGAAATCACACCAGGACAAACAAAAGAGAGATTGGAGTGGGTTTGGCAATGGAATTTAAGGATGACCGGAATTAGGAAGTTAAGGTGATAATTCTGGGCTCAAAACCAAAGTGATACTCAGATCCATCCTCACTGATTGCGAAGAAAGGAGTCCTCCTAGAGTTGAAATGATGAAGTGTCCTCCTCCTCACTAACCCCGTGGGAAACTGTCCTGCACACAGTTGGAACTGGAAGTCTGTGTAGACATGTATGCCTTGTATAAACTAGTTTCAGATAAAAAATTCCCTTGGTCACTGAGCATGCTCAGCTTTCAGTCTTCTGCAGAAAAGTGGATTGGGTGGCTCCAGCTTTTAGCTTTGGCAACTTGGGGCGGGAGAGCCCGGTTGTCCCTGGCAGAGGCCACAGGTGGAATCTTGAAGAGGAGGGTGTGAGGACTAGGCGGCAGCTGGTAGGGGAGTCAGAGTGGGGCCCAAAAGACAATCCATCAATGTGACTGACTTTGATCTGGTCGGCGGCCCTATGTAAAGGAGCCAGATGGTTTTCTGGAGATGGGGAGAAGAGATGTTCTGGTCCTAGTCCGTGGGTGAATCAGGGGCGAGAGAATGAATGGTCGTTTATTATCCAGTAGCGAGCCTCCTGAGTCCTCCCCAGCTACTCCTTCTTGGGTTACAATCTTCCCTTTGCAAGATACCGATTGTTGGTGCAGAAACCCAGGAGCTGGTTGGAGGATGCTCACCTGGCAGCCCGCAGCCAACGTGCCCCACCTCCCCACTCCTCCCTCCTCACTAGCCCAAAACAGTCGCCAGGAGCCAGCCAACATCTGGCCGGACTAGAACAGGCTCAGAAACTCACCTTTGCTACCTCGTTTTTGCGTTTGGACTCCTGATGGGGTGCAACCATGCCAATGAGAATCTTACAGATTCTGACTCCTCTGCTTTTGACGGTATGGGGAGAGGGACCTCCTATTAGTGTATAAACAATAAACAAACATCCAGAAGATGTGCGCCCAGGTTACACAGCCTGTAGGCGGTGCCCGCGGACCAGAGGGCACGGTCGGGGCCCCGGCGCGGTGCGGGGCTGAGGGCAGCCCGCTCATTTCTGGGGCTGCTGGCAGCCGGGGAACCTCAAAAATCACACCGAATCTCGTAGCTCCGGACGCCCACGGCGCGCAAGGTACGCTTCGGGGGCGGTCCTGCCTGACCCCGGAAGAGAAAGTTGTTTTGGGGAAGGGGAGCGAGGAGACGAGAGCGAGTTAAGTAAAAATCAAAGTTGTTCTGCTCCCCTCAGGCCGCCTCTCCTCTGCTTCATCTTTACCCCAAGCTCCATTAGAGTCAGGCTTCCTCGGAGGGCCGGACGCTCCTCGAGTCCCAGCCTGAGTAGGGGGACAGGGAGCGCCCGGCCCGCAGGTTTCGACCCTCTCTGGCTCCGGGTCTCCAGGAAAACCCGGAGCGGAGCATCCCCCGGGTCGGGAAACGCCCTCGCGCGCGCCCACTGGCGCGCATGCTCAGTCGCGCGGCGGCCGCGAGTAGGAAGCTCCGCGCGGCATTAGCGGCCGCGGCGGCGCGACTGGAGGGTGGGAGGAGGCGCAGCGGCTGGCGGGCGGGGGCGCTGGGACGCGGCTGGGGCTCCCGCCCGAGGTTCCTGCTGAGCGCTTGGGACCGCGAACCCCCGCGCGAGGAACTAGCGAGCACCGGAGCCAACGAGTGCTGAGTGGGCAGCGGGTGGAGCGGAGCCGCCGGGCGGAGCGGGCTCAGAGCCCGGGTCTCCGCGGCTCGGCTCGGGACCCGGCGGCGGGGACGGCGATGTTCCACTGCATCCCCCTGTGGCGGTGCAACCGTCATGTGGAGACCATCGACAAGCGCCACTGCTCGCTGGTCTACGTCCCCGAGGAGATCTACCGCTACGCCCGCAGCCTGGAGGAGCTGCTGCTGGACGCCAACCAGCTCCGCGAGCTGCCCGAGGTGAGTGTCCGGCCTCACCTGCGCGCGGTCTTCGAGAGAATACGGACGAGCCTGGCCAGCCCTCTCCCCCTCCTCTCTCCCGCCGTCTCCTGCCTTCCCCACTCTACCCCCCTTCCACCTCCAGATCCGGTCCGCAGGTCCCACAGAACCACCACTACCTGTAGTCACCTGCTTCTTCCTCCCTTACCGCTCCCACTCCCCCCGCCCCCCGTCCGCATTAAAAGTTCCTGATCATTTTGTACAAAGCGAGCTACTTGCAGTTTTCCAAGTAGTCACTAGAGCTTGTGCGACTAGGGAAACGTTCTGGTCTGGTAAGTAGTTGAGATACACGTCTATACTAACAACTGGTGCCTGTGGTGAGGAGCCAGGTGGCTCGGGCTGTTCCCGGGTGAAAGGACAGAGCGTGGCATCCGCTCCCTGGGCAGTTTTCCCTGCGCTGCATTCCCCTATCACTGGCCAGGGCGCGCTTCCCCGTTGGCTCTGGCAGGTCCGGAGGAGGTGGGCAGCGCTCAGGAGAGCCGCACTATCTCGGCATCTTCCGAGGAATGTGCCCTGGGCCTTATCGCTGGTGGGCAGTGCTTGCAAGGGCTGTAGTTTGGCTGGCCGGTCTTGGCTCCGGGACCAGTCGAGAATTGGGGGTGGGTAGAAGTAGATCGGGCAGGAGGAGAGCTATGCCTTGGGAAATGTGGGCAGGTGCCCAGGTGCCCGCTGCTGGGGCCCTGCCTGCGAGGACCTGTTGAGTGGAAGGAGCCGCTGTGAACGTCAGCAGAGACTGTGCCTGACGGGCCAGTCTTGCAGCCGCCTCTCCCGGAGCGGGTACGTTCAGGCTCCTGACTTCTGCCCTTGCAGTGATGCGTTACCTCTTCAGAGTTGTTTACGTAAATTGATCAGTGTGCTGAGGCTGAACTTGTTAATAGACAGATGCTGATTGAGCTTTAATGGAGAGTCTGTGACTGCAAACTTTTAACCTTCGAGCTTGCGCCGGGAACTTAGCTTGAGTAACCCTCGAAGAGGAAGGTATCACAAATCCAAGGCTGTGCAGGAAGTCGGTGTGCAGTAATCCAAAGGTGTGCAGGAAGTAGGGAGACTAGACTGCTGGGAGTTGGAGGGAGGACCCGAGGCCTGGAGTTGGAACTCAGATAATCTTTCTTGTCCTTTAGTTAACCGAAGGCCCAGACACTGTCACAGAAACACTCACTAGTCAAATGATCTGGCTTGTTAAAATGACCTGCCGGAGTGTTTTAAAAAGCAGAAGAGTGTGTTTTTCTTAATATTTCAAGTGTTATTCTTCTTGGATTAACTTTCCTTGGTTCATGTGGAATTGGATGGTTTGCTCTGTGTAATCATGGAGATTATCCTCACTAGGATCTTTGCAAAGCCCCCCAGGCTTTATTTAGCTTAGAAGCCGAAAAGCCATCCAATTCCCTCAGGCATTTATTATTTTGCAGGCATTTCCAAACACATGGCTTTGTCTGGCCTTTAACTTCCTTAAATTTGACTTGAAAATCATAAATAAGCTTACTTGCTGCCTTAAGTTGTAAATAAGTTTTAGGCATTGCTATCGCCAGAAATACAGAATATATTAAATACTTTTCAAGTGTGTCAGAATGAAGTTATTAAAGATTGAGTGAAAAGCTATTTAACTAGAAATGTTTCAGTGTTCCTTGTGGTATTTTTGTTTGTTTGTTTGTTTGTTTTAGTAGAACTGGAAGATTTCCTTTGACTGGATTGGCTTTTTATTCCCTTCTGCATAGTTTGTGGGTTTTCCTGTCATGTTGGGGAATTCACCTTGGTAAGGGGAAATTATGGGTTTTGGAAGTGTTGGGTATTCTTACTGATCCTAACTGGAAACTTCTCAGAAGCTCAAAATAGTCCTGATAGCACTCTGTACATATAGTAAATAAACAAGAGACGAAAGGTGGTCTTGCTTATGGGTAATTACTGCTCTTCGAGCTCTGAAGTTAGTTGTATGGTTTCTAGGTTGTTTAAAACCTGTTTCTTCATGACTTATTGTGCCTGGGTGTTGGGATGTGTATAAGCCAGACATGAACAACCACCTTGAAAGCACAGATATTTCATTCAAAGGTACAGTCTTTCCTTGGGCTGCTAGTTTCACATCTAAGGTCTGTGTTACACATGAGCCCTGTTCACTGCTCTCCCTGCCCCTCCTCCAACCTCTGTCTCTTTACCTTCCCTATCACCGGGAGGCCTCTTGCTGGCAGACCCCCCAGGTCCCTGTGGTGGTGGTCATGCTGGCTATCTGTTCTCTTCTCTGTAATTTGTTTGGAAGCACAGACAAGAGGGGGGGGGCGGGAAGACTGCACCCCGTACCCCAACAGCAAAGATACAGTATCCAGGCTTCAGGATGATGAAAAGGTTTGTAACCTCTGACTTGCTCCAACTTCCTCGTTTTGCAGATTGAAACTTGAACTTGAAATGACTTTTTCAAGGCTGTCCCGCTGGTTAGATGCAGTCACTGGTCGTCCCCCTATTCAGCAGCTTTGGACACCTAGCAGGAATCTGGCCTATTTAGCTTCTCACATCCATTAAAACCTGTTATTTAGCCCCCTCCTGTTTTACTCACATCATGAAGCCTGGCCTCTATCAAGCAGTTATTGACCGTTCATCATTTGTTGTTGGTAGGAACATAGAGATTAAAGAAGGTATGATTCTTAGGAGCTATTCACAGCTTTGTGGGGAGACAGATGACTTTACAACAGAAGTGGCGAGTGTGGGGTGGAGGGGGCATAGCAGTTAGCTTGATGGTTACTTACCTAACCTAACCTTTTGCCGAACCTGCCTCCGCGCCCTCAGCAGATTGTCCACCTTGTGATAGCCTCTCAGTGCTGCTGTCCGCGGGGAGGGCTCAGAACATTCATCATTAGCCTGCCCACAGGTAGATGATAGTCTTACCATCCCATTCCCATCCCCCTTCTCCCTCCCACTTCCTCCCGGCTCCATCCCTTTGGCACGTGTATTAACAGAGACAATCTGACTCTAACCTTCTCGAGATGCTGGCATGTTTTTGCTCATACTTATGAGTGAGCACTGAGCCTGGCACCCCATCGGTCCTGCTCAGTAAACAGCTTTTATCTGTTGAATGAATTTAGCCAAGTCTGATTCGAGTCTTCCTCCTCGGCTTCTTTCTTTTACCTTAAGCATATCACTACTCTGACATCTATCCTTTTCTAATATAGTCAGAGAATATTCAAGTTGGGAGTGATTGTTTTTCAGGACTGTCTAGCTGGTTAGATGCACAGTCTCTGGTTGCTTCAAGTTGGAAACCACTTCAGAAGTTAAAGGACATTGATATGGTGGAGCTGTTTTGTCTTCTCCAAGATCCTCTACCCCACTCTGTACCTTCTCAGTGTTTCTGACACCGTAAGTTTCCCCCGCAAGGTGCATGGATTATTGAATACCTTCACATATGTGTGTTTTACTGTGATCTCTCTGGCTCCAATACAGAGCCTAGTCTAATGGGCAGCAAATATTTTGAATGAATGCTGTTGAGTCCAGGCAACTTATAAAACTGAGCTTCATCTTGTCACCTACTCTTAATTAGGATTCAATTGACCTTTTGATGATAGCCAGATGACATTATCTCAAATATCTACCCCCTTCCATCATTCTTTTTCATATCCTGCTTAATTTTTTCCCAGCCCTTAGAGCACTATTACTACCTAACTCTAGACTATATATTTGCTTACTTGTTCTTTGTCTCCCCAACTAGAACATCAGCTCCATGAGGACGGGATGTTTTTGTTCATGGATGAACCTAGGACAGTATCTGGTATATAGTGGGCACTCACATGCTTGTTGCGTGAATGAGTCTTCCCAGGAGATGTCATGTGTATCTGCCCCTGTTTCTCAGCCATTGTGATCCTCCTTCCTACAGTCTCACATCTGTATACCAATCTATTGAAACTAGTCATGGCATAAAGTCATTCTGAATTCAGTAGTGTCTTACCAGTCTTTGTTCTCCATGTCTTCTGTGCTGGGCACCTTTGACTGTCTTCTCTTTTTGAAATAATTTTTATGCATTGTAAACATAATTTCTCACTATGACTTCAACATCTCCAACTGTGATCTGTTAAGAGGATAGCCATTCCCACTTGGAATAAGTCCCTTTTGTCTTAAATTTACCATGTTTCAATTTAGGTCTGTCTCCTGCAGTTCGATTTCTGATGGGTGGGACAGCCATTCTTCCTAGCCCACAGGTCCATGGACCAAGGCTCTTTGGGCTTGTCTTGAAGGAGCAGAGACCAGAGGTGCTGGAATAAGATACCTCAAATGCTGCTCCATCACTTGGACGCTTTCTTCAAGTCTTGGTTTCCTCACTTATTATTTTAGTACCTGCTTTTTAGGGTTATTCTGGGAACTAAAGAGATAATGCATGTAGAGCACTTACAGTCAGATAGAAGATGTCGAAGATCTTTGTAGATACTGTGGCAAGACACTTTTTAAAAAATAAAACAATGTTTCTTAACCTGGAATTGGAAGACATTTTCCTGGGAGTTCATAAATGGTTTTTTTTAAACCAGAATGAGAACTTTAATGTTCTTTTAAATAATAATTAAAAAAAATCATAGACTCCACATATCTAGGTGAAGTTACCAATGAGTAGAGCCATAAGGTTTTAGTGGTGCTATGATCTGTGTTTGAGCACTCCCTTAATTGTCTCTAGCCAAGGGGGAAAGAACAGATGTGGGCTTATTGCAGAAATCCTGTGTTTGGGTCAGATGATCCCTGGAAGTTCCATGAACAAAGGTTTCATGGCCATTTGTTAGAGAAGAGTGATGGGTACCTGAAGGGGTCATGGAGCCATGGTGGCATAGGCGGGCAGAACTGCGAGGAACCTGCTCTGAGGTAGTGCTGTACCATTGTGCGCAGCCAGGGGATGACTGCAGAATTGCATCGTCGTCCTCTGTCATGTTAGATTAATGTTGAATTCTTTCTTGTTGATTTTTGTCAGATTTTTACCTTGGTTCACCTCCTAGTTT